TGTGGAGAGCTTCACAGGCTGCGTCCCAAACCCTTGTGTCACCAGGGAGGCCCCCTTGTCCATTTTTAATTGAGTCATCAGTTGGTTTATCTCATTGTTTGGGGATGTTATAAATTTTGGAATGAACCCCTTGTCACATGTGTGGCATGCAGATTCTTTTTCTGTCGTGTTGGTGTTGTGTTCCCTAGTGCACTTCGGGGCAACTGTCCTTAGTGTGTCCCTATATTTTCTGTCAAGTATATCACCAAATATTTAAGCCATTTGGAATTTTATAGATTGATTTATATATCCATATAAGAGCTGGGGTACAGGCCAGACATGTGGTGGGTGAGAGGATTGACCAGAGACAGAGTGGGGAACAAAACAGGCAGATCTGGTGAAATACACTACTAAGGGGAACAGCAAGGAGACAGGAGAGGTCAGGTGTGCCATGTGGGTGAGTTCCCTGACTGGGGATCGAACTCATGCTGCAGGGGCTGTGGATAGCTTCATAGTGCTTTGCCTTAACCCCTTTCTTCACCAGGGAGACTCCATGTTGCTGTGTTAAGTCGGTTGGAATTTGTTGAGGATTTTCGTTTCTCTGTTCTTTGGTGGTGTTCGTCTATTTTTCCCTTTTATGCTCTCTTTTTTTTGGGGGGATCAGGGCAATGTTGACCTCGTTGTATGTGTTGGTGAGTTTTCCTCCGTCTTCAGTGTTTTGGAAGATGCAAATTTCTTTGTGCTTGCTTCTGTCATGGTCTCTCTGATGATTTCTTTTCTGTGTCCCTGAATGCTTGAGTATCTTGTGCTCCTGAATGTAGCTAGTCCCTGTGTTCCGATCTGGTCTCCCGTCTTCAGTCTGCACTTCTCCTGAGTGAGTCAGTCAACTGTGTTTTGCCATTTCTGCCAGTTACACTTGAGCGTGGGCCTCCTGCCCAGGCCTAGTACCACAGGCTCGGCTCCCACCTGACTGCGCCTGTAGCCGTCCCACTGGCACCTGCCGCTCATGCCACATGCAAACCTCGTCCTGTGTTGTGCCCTCCCGTGTGGGATTAGATCCTTCTCAGCCCAGGTCTCCCGCCACCAGAAAGGCATTTCTCTGTTTCAGAGTTTAGTCTCACCCAATGCAAGTTACTCTTCAATATTACCTGATATCTTAATGGTTGCTAACAACAGCACCGCCGTGCGTGCGTGTGTGTGTGTGTGTGTGTGTGTGTGTTCACTTTCTTTCACATTACAGTTCTCATTCTTGGCCAAACCTGATGGGTGCATTTTCTCAGTGATGAGGTTGCTCCCATTTCTGCCTCCGACTGGCCAGGGTGTGGTGACACCTCAGAGTTCAGTGGGAGAAAGTACTCAGGAGTCAGTGGGACGTGTTGGAACAAGGGTCATGACACAGACACTCGCTGAGTAAAACCAGGTAGCACAGATGTTCATCATTTGACCTTTGGTTGTTGGGAGTTTATGTCAGTGATGCTCAATGTACTTTTTAATAAAGAGCTTCAGGTTTCTGTCATCGAGACTGGAGTATAGTAGGTGTGTTTGCATTTGACATACGTATGATTCTTGCTGAAGTTACGGTTAAGGTAGATTTTTTTTAATTTTGATAGATGTTTATAGAATATTGATAGAATGAATATATTTTGCAACCTAATTTTGCCAGCTCTTCTGTCACCTGTGACCATGCAAGTGTTTCATTTTATAAACCTTTGCACTGTGGGGAGCAGCAGTGGCTGCTCTTCTGCCCAGCATGACTGTTGCTTCCTTTTCTCCTTTTCCTAGTAAACGTGGCCCTCCATTCATTCATTCATTCATTCATTCATAATTTAAAAGATGAACTTATTTATGCATATAGAAACTGGGGTATGGGCCAGAGGTGTGGGGGGGAGGATTCTCCAGAGACAGAGTGGGGAGCAGAACAGGCAAATCTATTGAAATACACTGCTGAGGGGAGCAGTGGGAGAGTCAGGAGAGGTCTGCCACACCATGTGGGTAGCTCTCTGGCTGGGGATTGAACTCGTGCTGCTGTGGCTGCGGGACAGCTCCATAGGTAGTGTCTTTACCTTTGAGCCATCGGGAAAGCCCCTGACCCTTTATTTAAATGTAAAATAAAAAGTCTCCTTTCGCTGTTATTGCATGTGGTGTTCTTTGGCTTTTAGTATCTGACAGTGTTATACAGCCATCACCACCTTCCAGATTTTTTCATTTCCCAGTAATGAAATACTGTACTCATTAAACTCTCGCTCCCAACTGCTCAGTCCCTCAGCCCCTGTATCCACCATTTACTTTCTGTTTTCAAGAGTTTGACGACTCAGACCTGTATGAATGGAGTCTTATTACACCTTGTGTTCTTGGTGAATCTCTTATTTTATTGCATTGTTAACTGTTTTGTCATTTCATAGGTATCATACAGGAGTGCATTCATATTGTAGTGTGTGTCATTGTTTAGTTCCATTGTGAGGCTCATTAATAATCTCTTATGTGTATTTACCAGTCATATTTATCCATTAATCCATCACCTGGCGCTTGGGTTTATTTTGCTTTGGGCTGTAATGACTGGTGGTGCAGTGACAGTAGGTGAGCAAACGTCTCTGCCCGTTCCTGTTGTCCCTGCTATTGGTGAACACCCCGGGGTGGGTGTGGGTCCTCCTGTCATTCTGAGTTCCCTTTTCCAAGAATCACCTTCCTGTCTTCCCTCCTGGCTGCATCATTTATGTTTGCCCCAACAGTGTGCAAGGGAGCCCGGTCCCAATTTTTGCCAGTTCTTTTCTTTCTTTTTAAATCATTGCGATCTCAGCGGACGTAAAATCTCATCTCTTGTACTTCTCATTCATTTTTACTTCGTGCCTGCTCGTATTGAGAATGTTCATGTGTTAGGACCCGCTTGGTATGTGATTTGCAGAACTGTGTATTCCAGTCCTTTACTCATGGCGGCACATTTCCATTTTGAACAGGGTCGAAAACGTGAGGGGATTGTATTGTCCCATTTCGTCATATGATCCTTTTATGGCATCCTGAGCCCACTCCTGCTGGGAGGTCCCGTGAGTTTCTGTGTGCGGAAATGAGCCATCCACCTTCTCTCTGCTGTTTTATTTCTCGTATTAGTGTTTTAATCAATGAGCCTGTAAATAAATGCATTTTTGTTTTCCTAGAACTGGGATGTGCCGGGTTACCTTGCGAGAGTTGCTGTCAGTGCAGCAGGCTCATCGTGTCCTGGATGCTGTTGTGTCTTTGCATTTGTTTAATTCATTGTTTAACTCTCCGGGTTTCTTTATTCCAGCGAGTCTCTGCCCTTGGTTCCGCTACATGCATTGCTTACTGTTTTGTCATTTCACTGGCAGCGTACAGGAGCTCCTGTGTGTGTGAACATGGGTGTGTGTTATAGTCTGCTCACTGGGTTTTCCTTTCCAGAGTCGCTTTACTGTGGCTTTCATTAGTTTTCCAAGAATGAATTATAACTAGTTATGACCGTTTTTATGTATGTTGTCTTTTTGTTGTTGTTGTTACGTAACGTCACCCAAACCCATTGTGAATAGGGGACACTGAGCATTTTTGTTAGTTCTCCTCTCATTGTGAATGTTGATTTCACCTGTGGCTGTGTCAAGGACTTGTTTTGTGTTGAGGAAAAATCCTCTGAATCCATTTTTAGCTAATACAAATGGAAATTTATTTTAATGGGTTCCTATTCTATATGTATGTGGAGGTGCACAGGATTTACTACACAGGAAAGGAAATGATTGAATACATTTATGGATTTCTTAAGATGTTTGTTTTCTTATACCGTGTATCTTATTTTCCAAAACTCTTTCATTGCTATGATCTATTTTTTTTTCTTTCTCCAAAAGAAATATTTGTCTCTTCTAGTTGTTTTTCCTCTTCTTTCGATAACTTTTGTTCTGGTCACCGTGTTCTCCCCTACGGTGATGAAAACTATCAATAATATCCTGGAGATTCCCAAATTCTTTCTTTTCTTTAATATTTATTTTATGTATGCATATAAACACTCAGGTGTAGGCCATAGGTGCAGGGGATGAGAGGATTCACCAGAGACAGGGCGGGGAACAGAACAGGCAGACTGAGTGAAATACACTGCTGAGGGTAGCAGTGGGGAGACAGGAGATATCTGCTGCACCTTGTGGATAGCTCCCTGGTTGGGGATCGAATTCGTGCTGCAGCAGCTGCCGATAGCTTCATAGTGCTGAGACTTAAACTCTTGTGCCACCAGGGAGGCCCTGATTCCCAAATTTCTCTTTTCAAATTAGACTTCCTGATCTATCAGACACATGTCCAGTTGCGTGTGGAATTCCAGTGTCTACCAGCCCGTCATGCGGACAGCATATTAGGAAAACATTCCTCGTACCATGTTCTCCTCCCCTTTGTCCTTCCATTTTAGAACTGATGAACTGTTCTATCATCTTCTGACTCTGTCAGCTGAACATCTTTTCTTAAAATTTTATTTTATATATATTTTACATCATTTTTTATTTCTGCACAAGTTATGCATTTTCATCTTGGTTATAGTCCCCATACATCCCACCCCCCTTATTTTGACCCTAATCCCTCCACACCCCCCCCATAGTGCATCTCTGGTTTATACTTGCTTATAGTTGAACATCTCTTACCTGTGCTTTTTCCCACCTCATTGCTTGAACATTCTGGTTTCGGGTTCAGTTTTTGTTTACTGTGAGTTGGAGATACCAGGCTTTGAGGTCACAGGAGTAAAATATTGTCACAAAGTTGCACACGATTTTCATGTGTTATGAAGCTCCTTTAGCACATGATTCTGGTTGTGTTTGTCTGTTACACCTGCCAGCCAGGCTATCAGCTCCTCAAGGAGCCAATTTTATTCATCCTTTTATTCTTAGAATCATAGACACTTCCAAATATATAAGGTAAGCTATAGGTCTACTTGTAGGACCAAAGGAGTGAATGTAGAGACGAGGCTCTTTCATCTGCGAATTCTATACAGGACCGAAGACGCACAAAATAAGATGTGTTTGCACTTGCTCTATCTGACCCAGGCTGCCGGCACTGAGATGAGAAATGTTCCCTCAGAAGAGACGGTGTCATTTGAAGATGTGGCTGTGAACTTCACGTGGCAGGAGTGGCGGTACCTGAGTGAAGCTCAGAGGACCCTGTACCGGGATGTGATGCTGGAGACCTGCAATCTCCTACTGTCCCTAGGTGAGGAAGCTCCAGTGTAACACTAGTACAATGCTGTCTTCTGCACCGATAAGTGTGCACTTACTTATGAAACTGAGTGTTGGTGAGGTTGAACATGGCAGGCAGTGTACATTTTGGGTGTTTTGGTTTGTGTTTGGAAAGATTCAGATTGGCCTCTTTTGAACAGTTCTTCACACTGCATTTGTTAGTTTTCAAAGACTGAAGTTGAACTTGATCGAAGACCAACACTGTTTCTCATCACAGGGCGCTGTGTTACTGATCCTGAGGAGAGCATCAGGTCGCAGCAGGGATTACAGCCGTGGACTGTGGATGATCCCCCAAACCAGGACCTCTCAGGTCAGTCAGTGCTTGCCAGGCCGGGAGGCTGAGAGGAGGCTGGGAGTGTGGCCAGTGATATTGGCCACACTGAGGTGCTTTTCCAGTGTCCAACCTTGGAGAGTGTGTCTGCATATATCAAACTGATTCTTTATTCTTTATTCAGTTTCCAAATACTAATATCTTGTGAATTTTGTCCTGCTCTTTTAATGATGGTTGTCTATGTTCATAAACCAGTATGCAGTCCCTGATACTGTGGGGATTATTCTGCAGTGATCACATTTCTCTGTTCTCTCTCTTAGTGTATTCTCATAGACTGTTTTCTTTAGGTACTTGTTGAGGGATTTTTTTTATTTTTTCCATATGTTTATGGGAAGTTTAGCCAGTGGTAAATTTTCTGAGGGGAGAGCAACAGTACTCACAGAAATGATCTTTACATTCTGAAGTTATATGCTCTGTGAGGAAAGAATATGTAATAAATGCATTCATTAATAGAGAGGTAAAGCCACAGAGGATGTTTGACCAGCATGAGTGGAGGATGTTGTTTTTGTGTGTGTTCCATACGCATCATTATAGAGATAATTCTTTTCTTTCAGAGCTCAGGTGAGGTGAATGGGTTGCACTGACATGTCATATCTATAGTTCCCTCTGCAGTCTGGGATAGTGGCTATGTATTGCTATTGGAGATATCACAGAGCAGGTGACTAACTCAAAAGGGATAGAGAGTCATTGACTGGAGAGTTATTTAGAACATGAGTAGTGTTTCAGGGGCAAGCCTTGTGACCGCCCTCATAGTAATTGTGAGGCTGAGGAGGACCCAGAATTGTTCAGCGTTGGAAGGGATGTTCTGTGACATGGGAGGGGGAACCTGAGGTGGTGGTTTCTAAAGCCATGGCACCAAGAGTTTCAGGTTGGGGGCTCATACTTGGGGAGCAGTGTGACCTGTGCAATCCCACCTTCTCGTGGGAATCATTGGGAGGAAAGTAAAGGAATCGACGACAGTGTGATGTAGCTGAGAGTCACACACGGCATAAAAACTGGAGCTGCTATGAACAAAGCAGAAATATAGGTTCCAGGGAGTGCGTTGAGACCACCAGGGTGTTGCTCTCAGAAGGATGTGAGAAAAGACTTTAACGCTGATAACACAGGATGGATGCAGAACTTTTTTCCTATCGCTTAGCAGGAACGTGGGACACAATGATGAGGTGGAGTTTGCTGCATGTATTAGGATTCTGAGCCTTATGTGATATGATATTTAAATATGAACTGACTGGACTCTTCTGTGGAGGGAAACACATGCCTCTGAGAACTTCTGCAGGTGACCGAGGCCCGGGGCGGGGTTGAAAGAAAAACTAAGGAAATGGAGAAGCAGAGTCCTTGTGTCTCAGCAGGCCTATTGCTTAAAGTGCCTGGGCAATGACTGGGTCTCTCAGTCCACAGGTTTCTGGGAAAGCCATGGCCTCTGCAGGGCTTGGTTATTCAGAAAGTACCCTCAAGAGCTGCACAGGGTCAGTCTAAGAAAGAAAGTGTGTAGGATCTATGTTGGGTGAAATGCTTTTGGTTGAGATCGACAACTCTATTTAAAAGACTATATTTACCAAATATTTATGATTTTATAAAACCATTGTGAAATTAGATTTACTGCTTTGTTATCCTGGTTTGGCATTAGAAAATCTGTTAACTGGGGCCTCCCTGGAGTCCTAGGGATTAAGTCTCTTAGCTCTCACTATTATGGCCTGAGTTTGATCCACAGTGAAGGAGTTCACTGACTTTGGCACAGCAAATCTCTCCTGTCTCACCCGCTGCTCCCCTCAACAGTGTATTTCAGTCAGTCCGCCTGTTCTGGTCAACATACTCCCCTACAGCACGCTCCCATACAGCACCCCCACGCCTGCACCTCTGGCCTACACCCCAGATCTCCTATGCTAAAGTAAAAAATACCAAAAAATCTATTCTCCCCATAATTTACTACAGGCAAAAAGCATGAATCAGAAAATCAATACCTGTAAATTATGTTGTAATATAGGAACTTCCGTGCCGCTTAGTAGTATTCACTCAGAATGCTTACTTTTTAGAGACATGGTCATTTTTATCTCACTTTAGATGTCCATACTGTGGATCACCTGACTCAGGACAGCCCTGCAAATCAGGGCAGACATTTGTGGCAAGTTCTTACCACCAGCAGCAAAACACCATCCAATGAGAGAACTGACTTAATGGAAAAAATCAATTTGCACTCAATTCATTGTTTGAACCATAGTATCAAAAATGAAAACAATTCAGCAATGATGTCTGAGAACTTTACTATACATAGGACCATGATGATCCCTGGTGAGCCTCATGAAGAACATGCTGGAGAGAATGAGGAGGTCGCTAGTAGAATGAGGGAACCTATCAAGTATCCTGAGCACCTTAGTCACCAGGTGATTCAGAACTTTCAACAGCCTTTTGAATTTCGTGAACAAGGAAAAATCATGAGTGAAGAAACAGTATTTACACCTAGAGGAGACCTTCTGGAAGGGATTGTCCGTAAATGCAATGAGTGCAGGGACACCCATGATAAGGTACCTTTCGTTGTCCAAGACAGTACCCAAGGAGGACAGACCCGCTGCAGTTGTTATGAAAAGGGGAGAGCTGCGGAGATGACTCCAGTGCATTTGAATCCTCCTAGGTATGTTGAACATGAGCAGCAGAAATGTTATGAAAGTGGGGTCAGTCTCAGAAACACATTTCACACCTATCTGCGTGAGAGTACCCAGTTAGGGAAGAATAATTTGGGATATAAGAGATATGGTGAAGCGGCCTCTAAAACCTCTGTTCTGACTGATCATCAGAAAACACAAACAGACGATCAACCTGATGAGTGTGGGGACACCGCTGAGATTTCCTTACAGAGGGGATACCAGAGAAATCTCACTGCAGTGAAGTTGTTTGGCTCTAACGATTATGTGAAAACTTACTCATGGAAGACTGCCCTCACTTTACATCCACAGTCTCAAACGGGAGTGAAGTGCTACCCATGTCAGGTGTGTAAGAAAACTTTCAGGCGGAAACTTGCTTTTAGTGTCCATCAGAAAACTCATACAAGGGAGAAATCCTATGAATGTCAGGCGTGCAGGAAAGTGTTCTCCGGTAAGTCAGTTCTTGTTCTACATGAGAGGACTCACACTGGAGAGAAATGCTATGAATGTGAAGGGTGTGGGAAAGCTTTTTCCAGGAAGTCTCACCTTACTGAGCATCAGAAAATTCACACTGGAGAGAAGCCTTACAAATGTCAAGAGTGTAGGAAGACTTTCCACTGGAAATCATCCCTCCCTCACCATCAGAGAAGTCACACTGGAATGATGCCTTATGAATATCAAGGGTACAGGAAGACTTTTGACTGGAAATCATCCCTCACTGAACATCAGAGCGGTCACACTGGTGAGAAACGCTGTGATTGTGAAGGGTGTGGGAAAGCTTTTTCTAGTAAGGCACACCTTATTAGACATCAGAGAATTCACACTGGAGAGAAACCCTATGAATGTGAAGGGTGTGGGAAATCTTTTTCCAGTAAGTATTACCTCAGGGAGCATCAGAGAATTCACAGTGGAGAGAAGCCTTATGAATGTCAAGAGTGTAGTAAGACTTTCCAATGGAAATCATCCCTCAGTCTCCATCAGAGAAGTCACACTGGAGAGAAGCCTTATGAATGTCAAGAGTGTAGGAAGACTTTTCAGTGGAAATCATCCCTCAGTAAACATCAGAGAATTCACACTGGAGAGAAACCCTATGATTGTGAAGGGTGTGGGAAAACTTTTTCCCGTAAGTCCAACCTCATTAGACATCAGAGAATTCACACTGGAGAGAAACCCTATGATTGTGAAGCGTGTGGGAAAGCTTTTTGCCGTAAGTCCAACCTCATTAGACATCAGAGAAGTCACGCTGGAGAGAAACCCTATGATTGTGAAGCTTGTGGGAAAGCTTTTTCCCGTAAGTCACACCTCATTACACATCAGAGAATTCATAATGGAGGGAAATCCTATGAGTGTCAAGAATGTGGGAAGGCTTTCCACCAGAAATCGTTCCTCAGTAAACATCAGAGAAGTCACAGTGGAGAGAAGCCTTATGAGTGTCAAGAGTGTGGAAAAACTTTTTCCCGTAAGCAAGCTCTCACTGGACATCAGAGATGTCACTGGACAAAATCCCTATGATTGTGAAGAGTGGGAATACTTTTCAGGAAGTCAGCCCTCACTAGGCATGACAAACTCCACACTGGAGGGAAATGCTATGAATGTCAAGAGTGTGCAGGCAGGCCTCCCCTGGTGGTGCAGGTGGTTGAGCGCAGCACTGTGAAGCTGTCCGTGGACTTTGCGGTGGGAGTTTGATTTCCTGGCCGGCCAGGAGCAGCCCCATGGTGTGGCAGACCTCTCCATTCTGGCCCACTGCATGTATTTCAGCACTGTATTTCGGTCAGTCTGCCTGTACTGTTCCCCGCTCTGTCTCTGCTGCATCCTCTCACCCTCCCACACATCTGGCCTGTACCCTGGTTCTTGTATACTTGAATAAATAAAAATCTTTTAAAAAATCTTCAAACTTAGGAGCTCAAACCACATCATGCAGCTGAGATCAATGGGAACTGACATACAGTTTCAATCCTAATTGTGTGGAGTTACCTGGTTCACTCTGTTCTCCCAAGTTCATGCAGTGATGATGTTACTGTTCCTGTTGCCGTTGCCTCTAGTATCATCTTAAGTTCCTGGGCGATGCTATGCCTGTCCACAGCAGCTGTCTGTCTACATGGCACACTGCATGTTGCGTGGGTAAGTGATCTCTCTGGGTTTTCTAACTTAGTCGTCACGTTCTGTCCAGTACTCTAGGTCTCTGTGGTGCCCCCCGATGCTGGAATTGCTCACCACCAAAATGTCCTCCTCTAGAAGGAAACGTTGAACTGTGTGCTATCGGCTATAGGTTGAGGTCTGCAGATGTCTTTACCTACCTTTCATGATGAAGGTTTTTTGGGGCCTCCCTGGTGGCCTGGG